CCTTGGGTTTTGGGCCAGTGAGCCTACCCTTAATTTTCAGTGCAGTGTGCAGTGCGCCCGCCATGAGTCGACTGAACACCTCCTTTTTGGGTGTGGCGCAGGGGCTCGCCAGAATGTTAAAACCTCAGCTCCGCAGGTTTGTTTTAGGGTTTTAGGGTTTTAGAGCTTTAGGGGTTTAGGGTGTAGGATTTCAAGATTTCAGGGTTTGAGGGCTTTAGGGCTTTAGGGGTCTAGGGTTTAAAGGTTCCAGGGCCTTAGTCAGGGTGTTTTCGGGCCTGCTGCTGAAGAACCGAAGTCGTGAGCAGTGGGCACTGTCCCTTTGCCAGTGTACCCCCTGAGACATGTAGGTGCTACTTAGGGGTTGAGGGTTTAGGCTGCTGAACTTTTTCTTCTTTGACCACAAAAGTATACGAACATTTAAGAACAGCAATTTGAGGGAAAAAACCCAAGCTCTCACGCCGACAGGAAGTTCTAGCCTAAACACCAAACCCAGTTGATGCAAAGTAGACATGAGCAAGGAAGCCACCCAAGCCTCACGACCCAGTCAGTAGCAGACCCCCGGATAAAGAGGCATTAAAGCGTCGACGCGCCTTGGGGTTTTGGTTCTGTTCGGGCCTCAGAACATTGTTACAAAGTTCTCAGACCCCTAAACCTACACCCTGAAGCCCTAAAGCCCTAAAATCTATAAGTCTTAAACCCTGAAGCCCTAAAGCCTAAAGCCCTAAGCCTAAACCCTTAAGCCCCAAATCCCTGAATCCTAAAGCCCTTAAGCCCTACAGTGAAGCCCTAAACCCTGAAGCCCTAAACTTAGGGGAGAGGATCCTGCGGCGAGCTCCAGGATCACCATCCGGCCCTGCACGGGCTGCCTTGACTTTGCCATGTCTCGAGATGACAGGGCTCCCTTTGAGGGTTCGCTTCAGGGTCTTCAGGGTTTTTTTGTTTTGAGTACTTGGTGTTATAACTTAGATAGCCAATGGGAGAACTTTAATTTCTTAGCATTATGTATTTTGTCTACGTCAGGAAGTTTGCTCTTTTTTTGGGCCCGGTTGTTGGAGAAGAGAGGTACAGGGATCCAACGAGAAGTGTTCTATTTTCGCGGAAGCTTCGACCCGAGGGAAGACGGGACATGCGGAACGGGACCCGCTACAGGCCGGCCTGTCACATGGACAACATGAGCACAGTAATTTGTGCCTGAATTCCAACTATACTTGGAGGCCCAGGGGACTTAGTAAGTAAGGTTATAATCCCCTAATTGGGGTTATAAGTATAGTTACCTTAGTTATAACCCTACTTACTACGTCCCCTGGGCCTCTAAGTACCTGTACCCGCATGACATCATGACATGTATAGTCAACTGCGATTTTCCACCAAGCCATGGGTTAGGAGGAGCGTCTAAATCTCTAAACCCTAAACCCTAAACCCTAAACCCTAAACCCAGTGATCCGTAGCGAGTTTGGAAGGCACCGCCGTCGTTCAGGGTTTGAGATTCCGGATTCCCGGTGTGGGTTTGGTAAATCTAGGGACCTAAATTTTTACCTATGCTTTCTATTTTTTTGTTTGGGGGGGGGGGGTTCCTTACTACAGTTATGGTAAAATATACCCCGAAACCCTATTCTAATTACTAAGGCCCCCGCATTATACAGTTTTAAGTATCAGAGCTTTAGCTGCTTTAGCTAGGTTGGTTACCAGGATTTGGGCCACGGCGACACCTTGGGACATGGTCTTGCCTTGACGAGAGTGGTTGGACGAAAAAGGTTTGTCCTGAGCCGTCTGCATTTGCTGGGAGCTTTGTGTTGCGGCCATAAACTCTTGAAGCACCCACTAGTGCCAAAATCCCTAGCCCGTAGCGAAGGCATGTAGTGTCTGCGTGCATCTGCAACATTAAGTGTAAGAAGTCAAGCGGTGCTGATGCCAGGTCCAAGCCAGCACCCGAATCGCATAAGAACTGCAACCACCTTGTGTGTGACGATTTGATCCAGAGGACCCATCACCAAAAGGTTCAGGGCCATCGCACGGCCCAGCAGGCATGCACAAATGGGGTCCAACCACCAGATGTAACCATGTCAGCTACTGATCACTTTTCTGTGGGTCCGATCTATGTTTGCTTCGTGTCGTATACTAGAGTTCAGTGGCCCTGTAAGCCAAGAAATATAAACGAGGAGAGAGAAGACCTGGCCACCCGCGGTCCTTCATAAGGCAACAGGCTACAGGCTGCGTGTGAAGACGGAGTTCGGTGGGGTTCAGGTTTAGGTCTAGCGCCTTGAAGTCGTGGTTTCCAAGAGTCCGGGCAGCCGAAAGTTTGTTGCAAATCAGTGGTAACTGTATTTACATCAAAGTTGAGTGCAACGACAACACGGATGCAGTTGAGATTGACCCTAACCTGCAACCCCACATCGCAGCCAGCATCAGTTCGACAAGCTGCGGTATGCTCCTACAGTTTGTATGCGCGTCGCGTGCGAAGACGTCGCTCCTCCTGTACCCATAGTTTATTGTAGTTCCTGCTTTGGGTTATATACTTCTGATCCTTTGGGGATTTAGGGTTTGGGGTTTAGGGTTCTAGGGTTTAGGGTTTAGAGTTTAGCGTTTGGGGTTTAGGGCAGGGTTTGGTTGCTGGTTGACACTCGGACCGGTGGGTTCAAGGTAGCGAGGACTCTTCGCTGTTATTGGGGATTGTTGTTTCGGTTCGGACTTAGTTTCATGAGTTGCGGTTTGAGGGTCACAAGCACTTCAAGCCTGTCTGTCAATCTGTGTTAGTTTCATGATGTGAGGTTGTTGGCTTGGCAGTGTGTGCTTCTTTGGAGGGGTAAGGTTTGTGGCTTGGGGTTCAACACACTAAACCCTGAAAACAGTTTGGGGGAAATAGCTTCGTTATGGGAGAACTGCCATGCGGGATCCGAGCTTGACTGCTATGGCACGGATTACCATGTCAGGGTTTAGGATTTGGGTTTTGGGGTCATACTTGCGCAAACCTTTCATCGGCCCATTTGCTCCCAGTGCTGTCTGCATTGCCCATCGTTTGCCAAGGTTCGACAGTGTCCCAAGCGGCCCTCAAACGCTACTGTTCCAAGGCCTTGCTCATGGGGGTTTCGGTCTTTAAAGATTCTTAGCGTTCTTCTGGTTGGCTCTTTAGACTTTAACTCTTTGGGTTTCTATATGAACTATAATATCTGGGCTAAAAGTTTAACTTTTAGGAGGGGTTCAGAAGTACACCAAGGATTGGTTTAGGGTTTAGGGCACTTTCGGCTCCTGGGGAGGTTGGTCTGGGTACAGTGAAGCCCATGATCATGTCAACACACCAGTCACTAAACCCTAAACCCCTAAACCCTAAACCCTAAACCCTAAACCCTAAACACCTAAACCCCTAAACCCTAAACCCCCAAGCCCTAAACCCTGCAACGAAATCTAAACGTGTGTGTTGACTGTGTCCACGGCTCTGCCCGAACATCCCGGGCAGAAGCTTCATGTGCGCCTGGTATTTATCTGCTCATGACAGTTCCCTGAGTGGGGCTTTAGTAAAATTTAGGGTTTAGGGTTTAGGGGTTATTAATTAAGGGGAGCACCCATTTAAGTATGACGCCCTCCTAAGAACGCTGTCAGCCAGACATGAATGCTGACATTGCAAAAGCGCCTGAAACTGCAAACCACCCTACACCCTAAAACCCCCCAAACCCTAAACCCTAAACCCTAAACCGGAAACTCAAAGACACCCTGCAGGTCACCAGTGTGATGCGACTTCGGGTTCAGGGTCTGAGCGGTCTGGGGCTTCCGAGTTCAACGAGTTCGGGGTCGTTTCGAGTCTGGTATAGAGCTTTGTGTGTTAGCGTAGAGGGGGGGACCCCAAATCCTGAACTCTGATCCTCCCCCCAAAAAATGCTTAACGGCCCGAAACCCGACTGTATCAGGCTTAAATTCTACAGCCCTAACGCCAACACTCTGAAATCGCAAACGGACTCTGAACCTCTAATCCCCGAACCCTCACGCTTTCAATCCGGCCTGCAATCTGTCTTTAACCCACAGAGGCAGCGGTGCAGCTGGATTTCGTGTCGCTGTGGCTCACCCGGCGAGATTGTCAAGCGGCAAAGGGCTTATGGGCTTAGAGCTTATAGGGGTTGTCGGGCTTAAGATTACAGGTTCAGGGTGTAGGGCTCAGGGGAGCATCACAACCAGCGCTTCGGGATTGCATTGACTGTTCGAAGCCGGGTGCACATCGGGACAACAGAAGAGCAGAGGCGTGCTGATTTCCAAATCCTGCACCAAAGTTGGCACACTTAGGCTCCGTCCCTAAGCCCGAAGCTGCTTTCTCAACTGCCCTAAACTACCCAGCTTAAGAAGGCTTTAGCCCTAACGTCACTGACTCAGAAACCCTAAACCCCAAACCCTAAACCCTAAACCCTAAACCCTAAACCCTTCAACCCCAAACCCTAACCCCTCAAGCCCTAACTACAAGAACATCCTAAAGCCCAAACCCTAAACCCTAAACCCCTCACCCCCAAACCCAACCCTAAACCCTAAACCCTAAAGCCCAAACCCTAAACCCTAACCCCCCAAACCGCAAACCCTAAACCCCAAACCCTAAACCCTAAACCCTCACCCCCCCAAGCCCTAAACCCTACACCCTAAATCCCTAAACCCCAAACCCTAACCCCTCAACCCTAAACCCTAAACCCTCAACCCCAAACCCTAAATCCCTAAACCCCAAACCCTAAACCCCTCAACCCCAAACCCAAACCCCTCAACCCTAAACCCTAAAAGAAGGCGCAGCCTGGATTTGGATGGGGATGGCGAGGTTGGTTTGGAGGCCGCAACATTCTGTTTCACGAGTCTGGCAAAAGTCGGATCTAGGGCTTAGAGTTTAGGGTTTAGGATTAAGGGCGTAGAGTTCAGGGTTTAGGATTTAGGGCGTAGAGTTTAGGGTTTAGGATTAAGGGCGTCGAGTTCAGGGTTTAGGATTTAGGGCGTAGAGTTTAGGGTTTAGGATTTAGGGCGTAGAGTTTAGGGTTTAGGATTAACGGCGTAGAGTTAAGGGTTTAGGATTTAGGGCGTAGGGTTTATGGGTTTAGAATTTAGGGCTTAGGGTTTAGGGCTTAGGATTTAAGGTTTAGGGTCTGGGGCTTACGGTTTAAGGCTTAGGACTGTGTGTTTAGGGTTTCAGCCTCACGTGCTTCGAGGTTGCCGGGTTCTCGGGTTTAAGGCTTTCGAGGTTGTGGTTTCGGAGAACTCGTAGTACTGTTCCTAGGTTTCCTTAATGTATAGTTTGCGCAGTCCCCTGTTCTAGTAGTTAATGTGGGGGCCCGAATAGTAAGGGGTCCCCCCCCCCCCCCCCCCCC